TCCGACCTCCTGGCTTCCACTGGCAGCACTGATGTCATGGCTGCTCGGGAATAGAATGCATCTGTGTTTGGGAAGGGGTGGGGAGGGGCTTGCAGCTCTAGCTTTCTCCTTACCCCCTCTCCCTCCCCTGCCAGACGACCTGCCTTTCCAGGGTGCTTCATATTGATCTGTCCTGTGCTGCAAAAGGTCTGTGGGTGTGTGAATCCTTTTGTATATCTGTCTGTCTTGTTCTCCTGTGAATATCTGTGTCTATCTGGTGCTGTGAATGAAATTATTTTTGTGTCTATTCTTGTGTCTTCTTTCTGGCTCTTACAATATTGTCTATCTTGTGGTGTGAATGAAATTATTTGCATGTGTTCCTGTGTCTTGATATATTATCTGTGTCTTGCTCTTCTGTAAATATCTGTCTGTCTTCTTCCACCGTGATTTTTGTTCTATGTTCTGGGTCTCTGTGTATGTGCGTGCATGCATGCGTGCGTGAGTATAAGCGATCTGTGCCTCCCTGCACAGTGATAGATAACACTGGCTGGGAAAACACAACTGTCTTTGCAAAGTTTCCAAAGCAAGTTCCCAAAAAAATAATTCAAAGAAATACATTGAATTGTAATACTACTAATAATTAAATTGAATAGCTAAGCTAAACTGAGCTAAATTAAGCTAAATCCTAACCACTCCTTTATAACACAAAAAAGCAGCAGGCAGGTGTCAGTCACAGCATTCCTCTCTCACACCACTGCTGACAGGGAATGAGCTGCAAAAGGCACAGAAGGGCTGGAAACAGGGGCTTTTATACTTTTTTTAGTCCCACCCCACAGACCATTGGAAAGGTAGCCAGGGAGAAATCCTTCTCACTGGCTACCTACAGACGTCAGTCTTCCCCCTCACCGCCCCCCCCGCCCCCTTCTAGTGGCATCAAACTGGCCGAAGTGGCTCCAAAGCATCCAAAGTGGGTCCAAAGTGCTTCAGATGCCCCTGACCCACTCTGAACACCATTGCTGGTATCCTGCTTTGACCCGGAAGTGCCAATTCAGACGCCGGAGCTTCCGAAGCAGGTCCAGATCTGAAGCAGGATCCGAAGACTCGCACAGCCCTAATGCACTCGGATCATTTTCCAATTGCTTGGGACTGTTCCCTATCCATCTTCGTTACTCAATAGCCAGGCTTAGGTACTTCTGAGCAGGAATGAGGAAGAGAGGCTTATCTCATCTGTGGCATATTCAGGGCTCAGAGAAAGATTGTATAGGCATGCCCTATAAATCTTTAGGTGGGAATCAAATGTTTAATCCTTTAAGTGTATAATATGTGCCAACGAAATGTTGGCACACATATGTGCAATTGGATGCAAGCAAACATAGCAACTGCAGTTAAGGGTCCTGTTGAAAATGAGGCACTTACTGAGGGAGGCTTTTTAAGAACAGGCTAAAGAAACATCTGTCAGAAGATCTATTTATAGTGGATCCTAACTTGGACAGATGGATTGGATGACCTCTTGAGTTCCCTTTTAGTTCTACATTTGTATGATTTACAATTTTTGATAAGCAGAGCAGAAAGACAGTTCCCTTTTCATAACTGGCATTATAGACCTGAAAATCAAAAGAAAAAAGATCTAACTGCATCGTATCGTTCCTTTTGATGTAGGCCTTCAGGTCAGTGGATCAGGCCATATATGACCATTGAAGCCAGAAGCTGTGGAAACAAACTTGGTTTTATTAGAAACCTCAGAAAGCTATGTAGATTTCTGTGGTAAAGACTTAGGTCTTTAGCTTGCATATCAGACATAAAATTATAATTTTAAAATGTGTGTGTTCGAGTATGTAAAATTCACTACAGTATATTCCACCCTTTATGCTGTGCTATATTTCATTAATGTCCCAGATGAACTTGTAGGGCAAATCTTTCATTTTCTCCTGAAAGATCTTGTCAAACCTTTCACTCTGTGCTACAGTCATTATATTTTTCCAGTCTCCAGTGGTACCTAATGAAGGAAACAGAGAAAATGGGTTAGATAGACTGATGCCTGCTTTACATCTAAGTATATCTGAAAGAAATAATAATAATAATGCATGTGAGACACTGGAAAAGCTGTCAGTGAAAAAAAAAATGTTATCCTCACACCCTTTTATTTCAGTTTCCAAAGTTGATACTAAGCTGGGCACTGAAGACTGTCATGTGGCTTATATAATATACCGGTTAGAACTTGTTGTGTGGATGAATTAAATGTGAAACATTTGCTCAACAAAGACTGGAATAAGATATTTTATTAGCGTAACAATGTAGATCTTATTGCTGATATAAATGTTGCTTTATAAACCCAGTAGAAACTGACAATTAATGTACATGATGTATATTACTATGGCTGTTCAACTATACTTGCTGCATGACAGAAGGGGAAGAAAGGAGGAAGAAATTTGAACTCAGGAGTTGTTACATCCAAAGTGAGAATCATACCCATAAGTCAAAAGCAAGCCAGAAGCATGTATGTTAAAGAATATTTTAGTTCTCACCTTACTTCATCAGTACTTGAATCAATAACTGGCAGGAGAAAATACTTGATTTAACCTGCCTAATACATTTTACAACTCATCCACTAATTGCACAATGTCCATGAGTCACATACAACCATTTTAATACCACCAGCTGTGGAAAAAGAACAGCATTTCAGTTAAAGTGTTTTACTAGGCTTGGGTGAGACCGGGGAAGGGAATAGTGGCACAGCACTTAAGGCATGTTGCTGCAGCTAAAGAGATGTGGGCTTGAGCCTCGTTCCTGATTTTTACCTAAAATTATCTGTAGTTGACCCAGCTATAAAATGGGTATCTAGGCTGGGGAACCAGATGAAATATTCCTTTATATTCAGTTGTCTACAGACACTGGTGCATCTTACCCATGCTAGTCCAATGAGACATAAGGCTTGGGTGGATTTATGGCATAGGACTCAAAGCTGACCACCAGCAGCACCACGGGAAGTCACTGGGAACTGAGGAATTTGACACCTATGAAAATCATTCCTGAGCAGTTAATTTGGTTATCATACTTCCCTGCTCCTCAGTATCTCAGTAATATATACTTCACAGGGATTTCCTGGTCATTCATATTGGTAAACAGCATGGTGGAGATCAAAAGTCACCGATATCTAACTAGTAAAATATTACAATACATTATTTAAGAGAGAAAGCCTTGATTTTCTAGTAGTTGGGAAGATATTTTAACCATCCAGTGTCCTGGTATGAAGGTTTCGCTGCTTCTGCCTTACCTTTGCGAAGAAAATGCCCTTGGCCTTTCTTCAGGAAAACTTCAGGAAGGGACTCATAATTTGCCCGGAGATCAGCTTTCATGTTCTTGAATGTAGCCCAATCCACAACAATGTCTACCTCCTGATCACTCAGCTGCTTCCCTACCAAGTTGCAGATCTTCAACACAGCAGTTCTAAGATCCTGTAGAAAGTTTCATTTGACTAAAATTATTATTGTTTGAAATAGAGTGCGGGAAGCACAGTACAAGCATAGAAAACTATGGGGTCACCTTTCATCTCTGAATTGACAAATAACCAACACTGAGGTCAGTGGAATTCTGTGTGTGGCCTATAATTTGTTTATCAGAAGCACCCAAGGGTTTTAACTGAGATTACAGCCTCATTGTGTTAGGTACTGTATATACACATAGTAGAAGTCAGTCCCTCCCTTGAAGAGCTTGCAATATGAAATGGACAAGGCAGACAAGGAGGGAGGGATAACCACAAGCACAGAGAAGGGAAATATAGTGCAGGGAAGGGAAGCCCAGTAATATAGAAGAGTAGTGGTAGTAAAAAAAAAACAAATTAAAAACCAAAACAACAAACCAACAACAAGCTGTCAGATTCTCAGTCTGGTGCCTTGGCGGTTAGTTCATGATAGTTCAGAGCATGGAAGTGACAACCTCATCATGAAGCCAAAATGCTATTTTTAAAATGTTATAATATTCAATAATCTTTACAATTCTACTTAGGTTTGGGAATGTATTTTTTAGTAATTATATTTTCCAGGAATGGCCCATCTCTTGAATGAGCTGTAGGGGCAGAGGAGGGTGCTAGTACTTGGCTGGTTTACAATCTTGGCTTAGTCCCACTAAAATAGATGGAACAGTACAAATACTGAAAGTTAAGAACAAACAAAATGTTTGCAGGAGAATGGACTGAATTTGTACCATAGTAGGCTCATCTGAGACTCCTATTTGCCCCTATATGTGGCAGGCAACAGAGTGGGGTGGGAGAAGGCAGCACAGCAGCAATAAAGCAGGAGGCAGAAAGCAGAGCTGCAGATGGAGCAAGAAGCACAGGGCAGAAAGCAGAGCAGCAGGTGGGGTAGGGGAAGGGAATCAGAGTGGCAATCAGGGAGGATGTGGAGCTAATTTGCAGCACACCTGCCAGAAAAGTTGGCCTCCACTGTAGTAGGTAATGAGTGATTGTCCTGACATGCCACCTAATGCAACGATAAGGCAGTTGGCATCTATCATGACCAGAGCTTGTTTCCACCTGTACACTTGTCTATAGAATCAGCTAAATATTTGCTAGAAATGTCTACAAACTAATGTTAAATGGATTTTACAGCAAGCAAAAGCAAGTACCTTTGAGGCCGAGTTTTAACTGATATTTCTGATAAGGAAGTTGAGAAGAAACCATTGGAATTATAATATAATTGTAATGATTAGACCCCCAAAATACAGTTGAGATGCCCAGATCTCAGAAAAGATAAATGTCCATTAGTCAGCCAAGAGCATAATAAAAGCCTGCTTACATTCCAAACCCAGGAGAGAGAACAGGCAAGGAAAACCATACACCCCCAAACATTGAGACCACTAGAAATCAGCACCAGGAACAAGATGTTATTGTGACCCACACATGCAGGAATGAGTCAAAGATGGGAACTATACAACATGCCATAGGGCACTTCCAGACGTACGTGGACGTTTGGTTCTCTGGGCACGAGTAGCGGTGGTGCACCTTGCACTGCTTCTACTTGTTCCTGGGGAACACCCGTGCCACACACACTTTTGTGCATGGTAAGTTACCCCGGGAGTGGTAGGGGAGGTCCCAGCCACCTTACCTGGGGTCCTGGGGCCCTCCTAGGGCTGCAGCTTTGGTGATCCTGCTGGGGAGAGCTTCGCCAGCAGCTGTAGCATGGCTCCAGGCAGCCTGGCTCTGCTTTTCAGCAGTGCGTGATGCCCGAGTGTGCTCTGCTCTGTATTTTTTTTCCCATGGTTTTTTTTTGACTCCTGGATATCAAAAAAACCCACAGAAAAAAAAATGGAGCAGCGCACGCTTGGGCAGCATGCTGCGCTCATCTGTGGTCATGCCACATGACCGTACTCATCTGGATGCACCCATAATGCCAGTATGTTTGTAGTAATGCACAGAACATAATGGTTACAGAGCTAAAACCTGCATATGGCAGTCATTTGTACCCAAATTGCTAATGGAGAATAGATGGTAAATTTATTAATGTATGAAAAATCAAGTGGGTTGGGAAGAGATAACAGCAAGAAGCCTTTCAGGTGAGTTTCTCAGTGAAACTAATAAAATTTGGCCAAACTGACTGGTCTTAATTTAGAGGCCTTTATTTACAGTTTTGCTTGGAGTTTTCAAATTTGCAGCTGAGAATTCCAAAGCGTAGGGATGAGTCAACTCAAACCAGCCAAACATCTTGGAAAGGTTTGGTAATGAAACCTAAAAGCAATCTATCAGTTTTATGATGAAAGCTTTCTCCAACTTTATTTAATTCATGTATTTCATCATTTTCACAAGCTCTGTGTAATGTAAAAAAACAGGTTCCTTCTCACCAATGCCAGCACTTCCATAAGTATAATTCTAGGGTGTGCCTACATTTCATCTGCTTGTTCTTGTTCATGACACTGTATGTGAAATGTAAAAAATTAATAGATTCCACCTTAATCATTTCTTCATAGGATAGGAAGAGAATGTTGAACTCATCCTTGTGCATGTACCAGCCTCTAACATGGTCAAACCAAGAGCTTGCTGTAACTGTTGGAGACACAAACCAATCAAAATAGAAGTCAACACATCATCCAAATAGTTTATACAATTAATTTGTCACTTGTGTTCAATTATAACATATGGCATGAAAGCTGTGAACTGATTGCCTAAAAAGACATTCAGCCAGAATAATCACTCATGTATTACAAATATAAAAAAACCTCTTTCCCAGAAAAATCACAATGTCATATCCAAGTCTGGGGCAAATATTTAAAGAAAACTGAATACAGAAATTACCAAACATAGAATATGCTGTTAACTTGCTGTTAACTATGCTGTGACCAGGTCACAAAATGATTAGATGCAGGAGTAGAGGTGGAGTAGATTCTAGGAAGGCCTTCGATACCATATCTCATCCCATTCTCAAAAATAAATTAAGGGGCTGTGACTTTGATGCACTTTGATTCCCACCCGGGGGAACAGGGACTTCCCCAGTGCCTGTTGATCCCCCCTGACTAGTTTATAGCAGGCCACAAGATCCCCCCTCAGCCTTCTCTTCTGGAGGCTGAACAGGTTCAGGTCCCGTAACTTTTCCTCATAGGACCTTCCCTGCTGTCCCTTGATCATGCGAGTGGCCCTCCTCTGGACCCTCTCGATGCTGTCCACATCCCTCTTAAAGTGCGGTCCCAGAACTGGACGCAGTACTCCAGCTGCGGCCTGACCAGTGCCGCATAGAGGGGGAGGATCACCTCCTTGGTCCTGCTTGAAATGCACCTGTGGATGCACGACAAGGTACAGTTGGCCTTCCTAGCCGCCTCCCCCACACTGCCGAGCCACGTTCATCTTGGAGTCAATAATGACTCCAAGATCCTTTTCCACCTCCGTGCTGACAAGAGGGGAGTCCCCCAGCCTGTAGGTATGGTGC